CCCCTGGGCATGCATTACCATCTTTACCTGACAATAACCCCAGGGCGCAGGTCAAAGTTCTTCTTCACAATATCCAGCAGCTCCCGCTCACTCTTCGGAGAAGTGCCGTAATGGAAAATGGAGATGGACAGTGGGTGGGACACTCCAATTGCGTAGGACACCTGTGGGCAGAGGAGAGATCCCGTGTCTCAGCACTAGCCCCCCTGGGCATGCATTACCATCTTTACCTGACAATAACCCCAGGGCGCAGGTCAAAGTTCTTCTTCACAATATCCAGCAGCTCCCGCTCACTCTTCGGAGAAGTGCCGTAATGGAAAATGGAGATGGACAGTGGGTGGGACACTCCAATTGCGTAGGACACCTGTGGGCAGAGGAGAGATCCCGTGTCTCAGCACTAGCCAGGCAGATGGCCGCACGGGCCTCCAGTCCAACACTTGTTCACCCAAGTCTGAAGGGCAACCTGGTTCCCATAACATGGACTCCTCTCTCCACAAACCGCCCCTCCACTGCTTCTCATGCCACACCCCACCAGGAACGAGCCATCCAGCTGCCCTAAGCATACTGCCTGTTCATGTTCCCCTGCACTGCCCACGCTCCCTTCTCATCTCGCCTCCTATTCCAGGGTCACCCTTTGCTCTGCAGTCACTTGGCAGGAACACCCACCCAGTGCAGCACACGGCACTGGTCCCTGCCAGCCACAGATCACTGCGCCCTAGGTTTGGGCATGATCTGCTACCCCCATTACAAGCTCCAGTTATTCACCACTTGCACCATCAGCTTCCCATCAGTACAAATTGGTGGGATGGTGCTGGGAATTATGGGCTCCCAATACTGCTAGCCACACCCCCTTCTCTGGCATAACAGTGCCCCAAGATCATTGGTTCAGTGGGGCTTTAAAGGCAGAGATCCTGCCAGCCACCAATACCAGCTGCCCAGCCAGCTCACTTGCAAACCTCAGCAGCAGGTGGCCATACCTGGACAAGCACTCTCCTGCACAGACCAGCCTTGACAAGGGACTTGGCTACCCAACGAGCAGCATAAGCAGCGGAACGGTCCACCTTGGTGTAATCTTTCCCCGAGAAGGCACCTCCTCCATGAGCACCCCAGCCACCATAGGTGTCAACGATGATCTTCCGGCCAGTCAAGCCAGCATCTCCCTGGAATTAACTCCCATTAGACTCAGTTTACAAACACTGGTCCCTTTGCAGTACTTTAGCTGCCCCAAATAACTGCTCACACCAACTTAACCCTTGTACCCACTGAAGTTAATCACAAGACCCCTCTAACATCAGCAGGCACAGGGCTTTCAAATTAACCCCCGTCCCCACTTCACAATAACTGGATTTCACTTTAGTGCAACTGTACAAACAGCTTTCGGCTCCAAAACACTGGTTTGCCAACTGGAGATGTAAAAGCCCATTTAAAAAGTTAACTTGTTAAACATTACATTTAACTGGATAACTGGGATCCTGAGGGCAGGGGCTGCTCCAGTCTTGAGCTGCTGGTTAACTGGTAAGCATTACCCAGCAGGTAACTGGTTAACCTTTTACCTCCCTGTTGCTGACAAGTACGGTGTGAAACACCCGAATCCATTTCTTGGACTTGGAGTATCGAGTAAGTTTTACCTGGGGCCCACCGATGACAAAGCGGCCACTTGGCTGCAGGTGGTAGATTGTATCCTCATCCAGGTACTTTGCAGGCACAACAGCTTTAATCACTTTCTCCTTCAGGGCGTCTCTCATCTCGTCCAAGCAGACATCTTCATCGTGCTGCACAGATATGACAATCGTGTGGACCCTGATAGGGATGACAGCGCCATGGTCCTGCATGTATTGCACAGTCACCTGAAAGGATACCCCCAACAGACCAGTCAGACACATCTACAGTAGATCCTAACAGGGAGGGACAGTAGCACCTTCCATAGTCCCACTCAGCACATTAGAGGGCAAGAACACAGACTAGTGCCACTTCATTCCTGGCCCCCTTCCCCCACCCAAAGAACTGAAATCCATTCTGCTTTTAGCGCGCTGAGGCCAGCAGCCAGGCTCCTGCACACACGCCCGTTCCTGGAGCTGTACGGCAGGGCTCCACTTACCTGAGTTTTAGAGTCAGGCCGTAGCCAGGGCAGGGTGCCATTGCGCCGCAGCTCTGCCAGCTTGGCATTCAGTTTGTGCGCTAGGACAATGGTCAGGGGCATGCACTCTTCAGTCTCATCAGTAGCATAACCGAACATCAGGCCCTATGGGACAGGAGAGAGAGTCTAGAACCTCAACTTCAGACCCAACTCCTGAGAAGTGCTAAATATGTCCCATACACTAGAACATCTCCAAGCTCAGACGAGCTATTACTAGAATACGAACCTGGTCCCCAGCACCAATATCCTCTTCATTCCTGTCCAGATGGACTCCCTGGGCAATATCAGGGGACTGCTGCTCCAAGGCTACCAGCACGTTGCAAGTCTTGTAATCAAACCCTAACACACAAAGCAGAATTTCAGGCTCACAGAATCCCAGCTTTATCCATCTAGCCCCGAACAGGTGATGGTGTTCTGAGGAACAAATACTCAGCCAACTCACCGACAGCAGCCAAGAGCATTCTACTCAAAGCTAGCAACACAAGCTTCCCAACACAGACATAGGCAGCCAGAAACCCTTACCTTTAGAAGAATCATCATAACCAACATGTCTGATTGTGTCACGCACAACTTTCTGGTAGTCAACAGAAGCTCTAGATGTGATCTCGCCAGCTAGAAGGATCATCCCTGTCTTTGCAACAGTTTCTAGAAGAGGATAAAAGATCAACTTCAGTGTCACTAGGAGAAACAGCTCTCCTAAAGTAATGAAAGTGCATTTAACAGGTACAATTTCTCCCCATTTCCTAGGCTAGGTAACCTCACCGCAAGCAACTTTGGCATCTGGATCTTGTTTAAGGTGGGCATCAAGGACAGCATCACTGATCTGGTCACATATTTTATCTGAAAAGAAATCAAGCAGCCAGTCATTTTCCAGCCACAGTGCACTTCACTAAACTCCCTCTTTCCAGTCAATATGTTGAATTACACCCAACTCTGGGAGTCTCCACATACGTTTGCAAACAGAAAGCAACCACTGCCGTTACACAACCCCAGGCAAAAGTGCCATCTTACACTGTCATTTACTGTCCCTCAGATGCAGCATGTGCAAGTGGCACTCCTAGGATCAAGTTACATTTATGTCAGGACTTAAATGGAGTCACTTATTCCACCTTTGTGATGCACACAGCTTCTCCCACAGCCCTGAGCACAACAACCTGCTGCCAAGTGATTTACTCTGGCACCCAAATCACAGCAGCACCCGATCTGCAAGTGGCTCTGCCCTCTAGCACATACTGAAGGTAGCAGCCTCAATTTGGTTTGTAGATATTTTAGAAAAATCAGCCTGCCAAAATGGCCACTTGCAGCAAAATCATTCTAGATTCGCATCCACACAAGCAAGAGTCTGCATGCACCCATCATAACCCCACTGATGGCATTTTAAGATGGATGTTGGATAGCATTTATTTTAGTAATTGTGTAGCCACAACAATTTTTCGTGGTTACAGTTACTAAAATGCTTCCATGGGGGCAGGGCCAACAGCCAGCGTGCTCCTGGATCCACTCCCAGATTGTCCCCTGCCAACCCACGATGCTGCCTCTGTATCAGGGATAAGCAAGTAAGAGTGGAATACTCCCCCACTTGAGGCAGCAAGGAGGGGACAGGAGCAGGTGCTGGCAGAAGTCAGCTTAAAAGCCAGTCCCCCTCCCTCCCCCCAGCACTGCCTTTATCAGAGGCAGCAGGGGATAGGGGAGGCTGCAGCAAACGGGCTGCTGAACAGCAGCACAAGCTGATACCATGCCATCTGGCACCTCTGTGTTTTAAAAGCAGTAAGAGCCCATGGGAGCTACCCACCACTGCAGCTCTGCAGAACAGCCCCTCTTATCGACTAACCTGTAAGTGATACAATTTGTATCAACTACACGATTAGCCAAACTGCTCTAACATCCCTTACTCTGTATCCAACATGCTGCTAACACCCCAGCTGCTACCAGGAACGGAGGCTGCTCCAGCATCCCATAGAGTGGCTTGTCCATAGCACTGCCATCAGAGGCTGCTCCAGAATCCCATTTGCCCCCTCCCCCCACACACACACACTGCTGCCTCTGATAGAGGCAGCTGTGTGGCAGTAGGGGCAGTGCACCCCAAGGCACTGGCTCCCACCTGCCCCCCTCCAGTAGCTCCACAGGAGGGGCATGTAGCTCCATGGGAACTAGCATGCATGAGGCACCGGCTTAAAATTCAGCACTGATAGAGGCAGCAAGGGGTGTGTGTGTGCATGCAACTCATCTGGATTAATCAATAAACCCAGGTTTATCAGTTAATTGTTTAAATGACTACACTAACATGCAATACTGTAGGCTACATTCACGCTGCCATTGGGCATGGCTGCCAAGAAGCAACTAAGTTACCAACAGCACTGCCCACCTGACTGCAGAACTGGTTTCAGCTGGTCAGCATCACTCCAGCATGACTGCTGCAGACAATTCTAGAGCAATCTGAAACCCCTAACGCACTATGGGCTTTGCAAGAACTGTTCACATTCTGTGATGAATAAGCTACTCAGAGCTAGATGTCCTTGACAATGACCTTTCAGATCAGACATGTAGCAAGTGACCTAATTCTGTGCGCTGCAGGGGGATGAAATGGAATAAAGGGAAGCCTGACACTGAGCTACCCCCTTCCTGTCATCTCTAATCCATTCATTCCTCAGAACTTCAGGGTGACTGGTGAAAGAGCAGTGCTGGAAAGGATGCAACAAGAAGCATCATTTTGTAGAGTTCCCAGGGACATAAAAAATCCCCCTGGATGTAGTTTACAGGCGAACTATTAATCTTTTACATGGTGAAGAAAAAACAACAAAATAGACTAAAGAGAATTTAAAATCCCATACCCAGGATACCAGAGGACTGCTGGTTAGAATTACGCAGCAACAATCAATGTGAGCACTGCTGCAGCCTGGCTTCACCTGCAAGACTATTAGCAGCAGGTTTTGAAGCCTGGTCACCTGTTTAGCCAGTCTATGCTTGACCATCACTGGCCATTGGCTTGACCCATCTGAGGCAGCCTCCGCAGCAGGGGCAGAGGATTGAGTCTGTCATGCAGTGTGAGCTGAGAATGGGAATCTGAACAGAACAAGGCCCCAAAATGGAGGCTGCAGACAAAACCACGTTAGTAGCCGACACAAAGCCAGGGTCCAAGGCTATGACGCAGGTCAATCCCGCCTTGCCACGGATGTGGGGAAATGACAGGAAGCCCCCATGAGCACCAGTCACCAGGCCCACAGCCCCTGGCTGGAGCAAGGGTGAATCACGAGGAGAGACCGGATGTAAGTGTGCTCAGCCCTCAGGTGCTGCGTTCAAGGGGGGGCGCGCGCGGGGG